GACTTCTTTCATGTGTGCCATGATCTGGTCGACACCTTCCACTTCATGAGGACAAAATAAACATGTGCATTTCGATTCCTGTCCAGACTCCTGCTCCATACTTTCATCATCTAAACAACACATAAGAGGATGAAGGTAACTGACTGTGAGGCGATGGAGCATTACTGAACTGGTCTATCACATGAGGAGCAAATAGTGGAAACAAATTTGGAATACTAGTACACTGTACATGTATTTTTCAATGTCCATTGAATACATGAGTAGGAGTGTGACTGCGAGAACACGTACCACTGCTGTCCTCAGCATGCATCATGTCGGACTCCAGCTCCGGTGGAGAATCGTTATCCATGGTGTTCAAACTAAGTCACGTCTCACTAGCAAACAGGGGAAACCACCACCCAAGGCAAGGGCCACCAACGCTACCCTCTGCAGAAAACATGGGCAGTGAAGATTGAAGTAAGTTTTCGAAGATGTACAGAAAAGCGAAGGACTAAAGGGACCCTCACTTAATTTTTACCGACTTTCGCGGCAAAAAACACATTTCGACACGCGTGTGTGCTGGACGTCTGCGCGTGCACGACAAGACGTGTGAGCTGGCTGACAAGTGAGAGCGAGGGAGCCGGAGTCGTCAAGTACCGGTACCGGCGTTTGACGACTCCCGGCCTGGTGAGAGCATGCATGCATGCATGTCCAGCTGGCGGGAAAGGGAACCTATTTTGTAGATCGATGGGTTGAATGTGAAATTGTGGATCTACACGAGGTTTGTTTTGATGTTCTGATACTTGTTGTAATGGCTAGTGATCTTGCAAACGTTACTGTGACTTTTCCAAGTCCTACTGATATACCTTGTCAAATCAGATGCCCTGTAGTAGTCTTGGTGGAGGCAGACTGGAATGCGTTGAATTCGTAGCTTCTGAAATTGAAATTTTTTTTTTTTGGAGTGACACTGACAAGCGATGGCATTGGCGACAGGAGAACTTTGCTTCCTTCCAGGAGAGCTGCATCGCAGTCGGATCCTGTCCATGCACATGCGATCATGCTGTGTTGTAGATAGTGGAGAGCTAATTTTGACCCGAGAAAATAGTTATGAACATTCATGAAGAGGATATTGTTGCTGTAGCTAGCTGACAGACATAGCCTGTGGCAGTGGTGTATGAAATCAGCTTGCAAGGTCTGTAGCAACTTGATCATGCAGAGAAGGAGCTGAACTGCACACGCACTCGCCACTGCTCTCGCAAGATGATTGGCTTCTCTCCAGTGATCCAGCCCCCTCAACGCATGGATCCACTGCACTTTGTCGTCGAACACATCAACACGCCTGTTGACGTTCACTGGGAAAGGTATCACTTCACGATGAGGAGCACACAGCACTCGTGGAGGCTTGTGCCGGGTGAGTGGCTTCTCTCCAGTGATGCAGGCCACCTGGAGGCATCGGGCCAAGCGCGTTCTTTGCCGCAAGGGCCATATCAAAACAGCAACACCAGCAATGCCACCACTTCCCGACTTCAAGACAACTGGACCACATCAGTCATTTGCCATAATTAGTGTCGGCTATGTCATCCCCTTCTATGCACGCCAGGGTCGAGATCGGTCACAGCTCAAAGAGATATGTATGTTTACATGCCTGCTGACTAGGGCTTGTCATTTCGAGGTTATCTCTGGACAACGACGGTTTTCTCCTGGCTCTTAGACCCCGATTCACCATGCGACGTGGTGTGCCACAAGAGATGCAATCGGACAACGGTACCAATTTCCGTGTGGCTGATCAAGAGGTAAAAGCAGCTGTCAAGTTTCTCGACAACTTCAGACTAGCAGCAGAAAAGTCATACCGCGACATTACCTGGTACTTCAAGCCACCAAGTGCACCACACTTTGGTGGTGTGTTCTAGGTTATGGCCAAGGCAATGAAACTAGTGCTGCATGAAGACCTTCAGCTGCTATTGCCACAACACTTTCTCATTGGCCATGCTAGGGCAACTGTTGCTGCTGAAGCCAACACATCTACAATGACTCAAGCGCACCCAAGAAAGCGCTGGGAGTTTGTGCAACGTATTGTAGATCAGGTATGGAAACGTTAGCTGAAAGAGATTGTTCCGAAGCTAAGCATCCAAGTGATGTGGTTGCTTCAACAGCATCACCCTAAGGAGATATCGTGCTTGTGATGGATAAGCACACCGCAACTGCACATTAGCCACTTGGACGTGTGCTTATGACCTATCCAGGTAAGGATGGTGCTGTTCGGATAGTAGAAGTTTAAGTAGCTGGGAAGGTATACAAGCATGCAGTTCATCATCTTGAGCCACTGGAAGTTAAAGGTGCAAGTACTGAGCGAACTGTGATTGTTTTCATATTCATAGTAAAGAAAAAAAAGACCAA